GATAAACATAAAATTTTCATTTTTGGGTGAACTATCCCTTTAATTGCAAGTTAGTGATTTGAATCAGATTCACTCAGTCAATGAATCCCTTCACAACAGACTCCCTCACTGAACTGCGAGTCACTTTTGATTCTGAATGAACCAGGATTCGTTACTGTGATGTATTTTAGGGTTGTGAACCGTATATCAGTATATTTACTAAAAGTATGTTCATGTGACAACCTATGTGTAAAGATACATATTTTTATTTAAATTAATTATTATTTAATTAATTAATGGTGTACGTAAAAAATATTGAATACAAATATTGGTCAAATTGACTGTAAGTGAAACATGTTTGAATGACATAACAATTGACTTGTTAATTTTTTTTCTTACAAAAAAATTACACTGAAATGCAAAGAAGCTATGCACTTTATAAACCAAGGTGCTTCCAAATAAACTTTTGAGCAGTTCTGTAATTTAGCTTCTAAATGTTTCATTTTTTTAAGAGCCAATTTTATGAGTCATCATTTTGTCATAAATTTGCAGACCCTCACTTTCTCAACTTTATCTCGCTTCTCTTTAGCAATTCAGTTATGACATCGCAGACAACGCCTCTACAGTTTGCCTTGCCCATCTCTTCACCTATCAGGACTTCGATGATGGCACTCTGGGTCTGGCATACGTGGCCCCTTCCAAACAGGGATTGGGAGGACTCTGCCCTAAACGTAAGGATCTCTTCAACTGTGATCAGTGGAATTCCACTCTTCAAAAGTGCTTGACCTTGCACATTCATTTTGTCTTCCAGCCTACTATCCATCACAAACCGTCAGGAAACCTAGCTACCTAAACACAGGCTTGACAAGCACCATGAATTATGGGAAAACTATTCTGACTAAGGTTTGCTTTAAGTACCACTTGTATCTTATATACTAGCAGGCAGCATGATAAAACTGATATTTTATCTTTCCAGGAAGCAGATCTTGTAACAACTCATGAGCTCGGGCACAACTTTGGAGCAGAACACGATCCAGACAACATACCTGCCTGTGCCCCCAGCGACGACCAGGGTGGCAAATATGTCATGTACCCTATTGCGGTCAGCGGAGATCACGTCAACAACAAGGTATTGTCCATCCTGTACTGATTTTTCCCCTTTACATGTAGATACTTTACTCACCGGTTTTATTTTTTCCCTCAGCGCTTCTCCAACTGTAGCAAGTTCTCTGTCAGTAGGGCGTTAAAGGTCAAGGCCCATCAGTGCTTCAAGGAGAGGAGCAGTAAGCTGTGTGGGAACTCCCGTGTGGAGGAGGATGAAGACTGTGACCCTGGACTCCTTCATCTCAACGATGACCCCTGCTGCACAGCTAAGTGCAAATTCAGGAAGCAGGCACAATGCAGGTAAAGAAGCTAACAGTGATAGACCAATATATCAGCATTGAAGATTATCAGCATCGACCAGATAATAGATCACAATAGTGACCACACACTATTTCAGTGGTCTTGTTTCTCAAAGTATTTTTTCTGTTCATTGTATAGGGATTTAACAAAAAAAAAGTCATGAACAGAACCGACCAGTTCAGAAATGAATCCCTATATTAACAAATTATTTTAGAATATTAATAAATTAAATAATTAATATTAAATGAATTACATAAAAATTAAAATTGAGGAAAAACCTGTAATGTCTTTTATTTAAGTTATTTCATGTACAATACGTGGCGTTAACAAATAATAATTAAAAAATAGAATAATTGAATAATAATATAATATAATAATAATTAAAAATAATGTGTATACACTACCATTCAGTGAATTTAAGAAATTAATACTTTTATTCAGCAAAGATGCATTTAACTGATAAAAAGATAAATGACAGTAAAGACATTTATAATGTTGCAAAAGATTTCTTTTTCAAATAAATCCTGAAAAAAAAAAATGTATCATGGTTTCTACAAAAACATTAAGCAGCACTATTGTGTTCAACATTGATGATACAAAATGTTTCTTAAGCAGAAAAGCAGCATATTAGAATGATTTCTGAGGGATCATTTGACACTGAAGACTAGTAATGATGCTGAAAATTCTGCTTTGCATCACAGGAATAGATTACATTTTATATATATTCATGGGAATTGAAAGTGGATAATAAGTTTTTTTTTTTTTATTAAGTTTGGCTGATGGCTTCAACAGAAGCATATTCAATCGACTGTCTTAAAAGGTTTAGAAGTCAAAAGTCAGAATATAGTTAAAAAAAAAGTTTCAAAGTTTTATTAAGAAGTAGGGCTGTGCGATTTGGGGGAAAATATCAAATAGCGATTTTTTTGACAGATATTGCGATTGCGATTTGATTTGCGATTTTAAATTTGCAAAGTCAAGCTTCAGCTCAATATTGTCAATAATGTGCAGCACAGTATGGGTATCATTACCCTGCTGAAAAAAACAATAGAATTTTAATTTGCCTAACTATCGATCTGACCCAGTAGACGCCATATTTCCACTCTGTCTCTCTCCCGGTTTCTGTTTTTTTTTTTAAATGGTGGGTGTTTACGCAGTTGGCTAGAGCAGTGCTGATTGGGGATAATGGAGGTGCGCTCACTCTTGCCCAGGGCAAGAAAGACTGCAACTCAAGACTGGCAGTCATGCATATTATATATAATTACTTTTTTTTGAAAGGTTAGTTTCAAAATTAAAAGCAGTCATATAGTGAAAAATTGCAATTTGAAATGGTTTTCTATTTGAATATATATTTAAAATGTAATTTATTCTTGTGATTCAAAGTAATATCGCGTCCACATCGCAGGCTTTGCGATTAGCAAATCGCAACGTCTCAAATCGCGATTTCGATTAATCGCACAGCCCTATTAAGAAGTGTGGTTCTCTTAAGGGCATTGTTCTGTCAGTATTTGTGGCTGATATTGTTGTCTGTGACCCTCAGTGACAGGAACAGCCCCTGCTGCAAGAACTGTAGGTTTGAAAGTGTAGATAAGATCTGTCAGGAGACCATCACCGCCACCTGCAAGGGCATGTCAAGGTGCACAGGTGAGCCCAGAACTCTCCAATGTCAATGTAGCAGTGGTCTGGATCAATTATATTTAACTTTTTACCCTTGTGTATCCCTAGGCAACAGCAGTGAGTGCCCCACCCCTGGTAACCTGGATGATAATACAGAGTGTGTGGACAAGGGCCGATGTCAGAAGGGCGAGTGCATTCCTTTCTGTGAGGCCCTGCATGATCTTGAGTCCTGTGCCTGCAATGGTAAATGTCCCAACAGACCCTCCTTTCTGTGTTCACTACTGCCCAACCAAGCGATCTGATTGGATGACCAGTGTTCATACCCAGTGAGCAGCGATAGACAGTATAACACTGTTTCTACATATGGCAGACTTCTATAGAGACACAGACTTTAATATCTTGACTACAATAAAGATTTTAAACATTTACACCATTATTGCCTAGGGGAAAAAATGCAGGGCATATCATAGATATTTTATTAATTACTTTTTGTTTATCAAATATTTAATTTTACTCCAGTCTTCAGTGTCACATGATCCTTCAGAATTCATTCTAATGTACTGGTTTGGTGCTCAAGAAATATTTTTTATTTCTTGTTATTATCAATGTTCAGGACTCTGATGAATAGACGCTTCAAAAGAACAGCATTTCAAATTTAAAAAAAGATTCAAAAATCTTACTGACCCCAGCCTTTTGATAGTGTAAATACAGACTTTGTGACAACTATCCCCAGGCTTCTGTACTGTATATAATGACAACAGGTAAGATGAATCAAAAAGAAGAAGAAATTACGGGATTATTTAGGCTATTTTACACAACATTGACTCCAGATATATGTAAACAGAAACTGCAGATATTGGGATGCATACCATTTCAAAATTCTGTTATATTGGCTCATTAATTGAGAGGGTTAATGTACACTGAAACTAGTACCAAAACACATACTAATAAGTGTTCAACGTTTTACCTGTAATTATGAATGCAGAAGTGCTGAGTCTGTCCATTTGCTGTGATGTTTTTCAGAGACCGAGAACTCTTGTAAAGTGTGCTGTAGAAGCATGAGTGGGCTGTGCACTCCCTTTGACAGTGATGGGTCATATCTTTACCTGCGCAAGGGCAAACCCTGTACCGTTGGCTTCTGTGACGGGGCAGTGAGTACACTGCTCGTCTATGTTTTGACCATTTATCAGACTGAATAGTGTTTTCTATTCACTAGCGTGATGATTGCTGTGGTGGTGTTCATTCCAGGGTAAATGCATGAAGCACGTCCAAGATGTCATCGAACGTTTATGGGACTTCATTGACAAACTGGACATCAACACATTTGGTAAGGGATGATAACAGGGTGAATTTAGCTAGGACTTTTTCTGTATGTTTTGTAAATGCCAGTGGTGAGTGACTCTTTTCTGTCAATGTGCAGGGAAGTTCTTGGCTGACAACATAGTTGGATCAGTGGTGGTCTTCTCTCTCGTCTTCTGGATTCCCCTAAGCATACTGGTGCACTGTGTGGTGAGACTTATTTCAGTCAATAGGTTTTTCTGAATTGATTTTTCTTAAAGGGATAGTCCACCCTGGCATCATTTACTTACACTCGTGTACTTCCAAACCTCTTTGACTTTTTTCTGTGCAACTGGTTTGAATTTTGACAGTCCCTAAAAGTTTTATAAAAGTGGTCCATGAAACACTCCATATTTCATGTCTTCTAAAGCCAAGCGATAACTTTGTGTGAGGAATTAGTATGTTAGAATTATTTATACACTATTATAGTATTAATTAATATAGGTTAAGGTTGAATTAGCTTTTAATTTTTATAATTAAAATGTTCTTTTATTAAATTTGAGTTTGTCATTTTAATATACTTATTTATACTTATATATACTTTTTTTAAATATATTTATATTTTTAAACAGTATGTTAGCAATATGTGTATATACTATTATAGTATTTATTAATATTTTAAATTTGCTTTTTTTATACTTTTAGTTTTCATTTCAATGTAAGTTTTGGTAATTTTGATATAAACTAGTTTAAGTTTTTATAATTTTGTTATGTTACGGTTTTGTCATTTTATTGTTTTTTTTTTGTTTGTGTCTATTTAGTTTTTATTTTTATTTCTGTTTTAGTCATTTTAAAATGTATTCATTTCAAATTTCATTGAAGTTTTCATCTGATATTTCTATCTGATTTTTTTGTCAGCTTTATTTCAATCAACAAAAATACAGTTAGGACTGCAATAGAAATAAGCCAATGGCTTTGTGTTTTTTTTTAATCCTCGACAGTTTTTAAAGTGTATGGGATACTTGTTATTTTGTACAGTTTATAAACAAATTTCAGTTAAATTCAATTCAGCAATAACACTGTGAGGAACAAACTGAAATTTGATGGTATTTTGCCATATTCTGATTTGTATTGCGGTCATATTACTTCCACAGAAGAAATGATGTAAGTACTATGGTGAGTGTAAATGATGACAGAATTGTCATTTTTGGCTAAACGAACCCTTTAAAGTCAAGACAGTACAGTGATCGTTTCTCTTTTCTCATTAATAGGACAAGAAACTGGATCAGCAATATGAGGAAAGCTCCAAAACCATGATGTACCCAAGTGTAAGTCCTTCTGTCACAAAACTACAACTCCACCATGGCTCCTTTCTCTCGCAGCGGAGATCAGATTACTAACAGACTAACTAACACACTAAACCTGCATTAAAGTCATCCAGCACCCCAAAGTAACATAATAACTTGCTGATTCAGTTAGCATGGCGTCTTTTATCAGGGCTAGTATGGGCGAGCGTGGCTGCACATGTATGATTTGTGGCTTGTTTGCTCTGACCCTTGTGGAACTGCAGCAGATGGTGGTGGAGGTGTGTAGTAGAGCTCTCAACTCAGGTGAGTGAGCATCATACGGCCCCTCACCGCTGTGCCCCCTGAGTGTGATGAGTCAGAGCGCGCTGGTTGTGACGTGTCAGACGGACTGACTGAGTTTAGTTCAGCTTGTCCTGTATGTCTCGTGCATTCAGTGTCCATGAGGATGTGTTGCCGGTTTCTGGTTCAAATGTGTTTTTGGATGCAGTTCAGTACTGGAGCGTTTTAAATGCACGGCTTTGAAAATCTCTTGATACTGCATACGCTACAGGTGCCCGTCTCTTCATTTGATTTGGTTCAAGAGATGTGAATGGACCGTTACTGATATGGCAGATGCATATTTTTCTGCTTTTAACTCAAGTGTAGCATGCTGTTTATATTTTGCATAGGGATGGGCATCAGTTTGTCTAGTTGTACTTGACAGATGAATCAGAATACTATAATTGTGCTACTCTGTAATTAAAATTGTATAAATTTACGTTTCTTTATATATATATATATATAATGTATGAATTATTATTTTTGTGTATTGTAATTGATTTATTCGTGATTTGTTCTAGTTTTATCTATACTGTATAACTATAATTGTGAACTAAAAATTGTGTAAAATTTATCAAAATTAGATCCTAGAAGATGGTACAAAAGTTTTTTTAAATATATTTATATTGTTTATTTTTATATATTTAAATAAAAAAAATATATTTTATTTGTGAAGAATTTTCAGTAAAAGTGCTATTATAAAAATTATTTTATTTTTAAATAATGCAAAAAAAGCTGAATTTAAAAAATATATCTAATTTGTCCAAGTTTCAGTAAAAGTGCTATTATAAAAATTATTTTATTTTTAAATAATGCAAAAAAAGCTGAATTTAAAAATATCTAATTTGTCCACGTTTCAGTAAAAGTGCTATTATAAAAAAAATAATAATAAGAATTTTTATTTATTTATTTAAAGTAGACAACATAACAGAAGACCATAGAAAAACAAAAGAAATATACCAAAACCAAAGACAAACATGCAATGTGTTGTGCAACAAAATAATTTTATTTTTAAATGCAAAAAATTCTAAATTTGTTAGTTTTCATCCATCAGTAGTTGGTTTACATACATAAACGTCATTCAGATGTCTTTGTATTGCGTTTTTCTGTTAATTCAGTCACAGTTTTAAGATGCCATGTTAAAAATAGTTTAAAACCACTTTTTTTGTTCAATTTTGTTCTCAGAACCCTTTTTTTTTTGTTGTTTCACTGTGTTCAGTTTAAATCAGTAGTTCTTAACCATCAGCAAACTTCCAAGGGGACCACGGGACTACTTAAAATGACTAATTAATATTTTTTTTTAGAAATAATTATCTTTGTATTGCGTTTTTCTGTTAATTCAGTCACAGTTTTAAGATGCCATGTTAAAAATAGTTTAAAACCACTTTTTTTGTTAAATTTTGTTCTCAGAACCCTTTTTTTTTGTTGTTTCACTGTTCAGTTTAAATCAGTAGTTCTTAACCATCAGCAAACTTCCAAGGGGACCACAGGACTACTTAAAATGACTAAATAATATTTTTTTTTAGAAATAATTAAGTTGCTACAAACAAAAGAAGTGTAAACTGAAATAATTTATTTTTCCTATTAATAATTATATTTATTGAAAAATATACATTTCAAAAATATCTTTTAAAATCACAAAATGAATGTTCATGTATCAACACTCCTAGTTTCTCTTAATAAAAATCAAGCAGCATTGTCAATTTCAGCAGTAATACCAAAATAAATATCTTTGAGAACCACTGGTCTAAATGTTTTTGACAGGAAGAAAATAAAAATCTATGATACACAGTACTTTGATAATCAGTCATTGCTGTCACTTCCGAGTACTCATGCCCATCCCTATTTATGCAAGATGTTGTGAATACTACGATAAGTCTCCCTTACTTATTCCATCCCAAATTCTGTCCCTAGAGTGCAGAGATGATGAGCGGTCTGGAATCGGCGCCCATCCACATTGTGAAGGCCTCTCATCCGCGACCTCAGCCCTCACTGGGCCCCACGGGCCCCGGCGTCTCACCGGCACAGGAGACGCTCGCCGGCCCAGACCCTGCCAACCTCTCCGCCGCACCCAAAGCGGATCCGCTGCGAATGGCCACAATCGAGGAGGACCCCAGCGGAGACTCCTCTCACCTGGAAGAGGAGGACGGCTTCCGTCAAAGCGGCACAGCTGCCAGGTCCTTCGAGGACCTCACCGGACAGGCAATGCCATCCCACGGGGACAAGAGACGGCTGACGAGACAGGCGCGCATTGACAGTAAGGAGACGGAGTGCTGAAGACACTGGCATAAGTCAAAAATGACTTGAGCTGTGAGGATCAGGGTGCAATCAGGCTTCATTTTGTTCGTGCATTTAAAAGTGGATGTGATGTGTAAACTGCTGACACGTTTCGGTTGGTTCTTAGAAATTTTGTAGCATTCCTTTAATGCACAATTGTAGTTGTTAAAAATAGAGTGCTACTTACAAGCATGTCAGAAACTGCCAAGAGAAATTACTTTGCATTTGGTCTATTCAAAAATTAAAGGAATAAATTCAATACAGCTTTGGACAGCATCTTTGGCTGTGAAATATGACTCGGCAGTTTCAGAAGCCAGCAAAAAGACAAAAGTCCCCCCAACCCAACCCAACCCTGGTCCTGGAGGCACCCCAGCACTGCACATTTTGCATGTCTCCTTTCTATGACACCAATTTCAGGTCTTGGAGTCTCTACTAATGAGCTGATGACCTGAATCAGGTGTGTTTGATTAAGGAGACATGCAAAACATGCAGTGTTGGGGTGCCTCCAGGACCAGGGTTGGGAACCACTACTGTAAATGATGACCAAAGTTTCATTTTAGCGAGAACCGTTCCTTTAATCATTTTACATTTGCCCTATATATGTCTGTTGTTACTGTTTAGGCATTTTGTGTTGTTTTTATAAACCGAAGTACAAAATAATGTTTTGTGGTCATTGACAATCACAGGTGCTGTCCTTAGATCTTAAAGGGACAGTTCACCTTAATATGAAAATGATGCTATCATTTACTCGCCCTTCCAAACCCAAAAATCACAAATGAAGATATTTTTAATAAAACCTGAGAGATTTCTGTCCGTCATTAAAAATTAATTCTGCCCAAACTTTTGCACTTTAAAATGTTCATAAAGACATTGTAAATCTATACGAGTCAAGCAGTTCAATCCAGGTCTTCTGAAGAAATACAATCACTTTATATTTGCTTTCCATTTACCATAAATGATGAGCTCTTCATAGTTTGTGTGTTGGTCAATGTATAGATGAGAATCAAATCTAGCATTAAATCTGTGATGATTACAATTTCTTTATGATCTTTTTGCAGTATGAAAGTTTTGGGAGAATGGATTTTTGATTGGAGAGAATGCAGGTTTCGAAAAGTCTTGTGGGTTTGGAACGACAAGAGGGTGAGATTTGGTAAACTATCCCTTTAACTTGTATTTAATATTATTTTAATACAGTCAGTATGTGTCTTGTAACATACATCCAGTAGTGCAAATTTTTGTATTTTTATTCATGTATACCTCATTAAGAACATGAGCAGCAGGACTAATGCATGACTCTATACTTTTAATGTTACACTGGTCGACTTGCTGAGAAGATTCAAGCAATGCATGTCCTATGCCATACGTTTATGAATTAAATGGCATATGTGTTTGGAAACTGTAAGACGAGATGCAATTTATAATGAGTTTTATTTGACCTGTTCTTAAGGCTTAAAGATAGAAATTGCTCATAATTTTTTGCATCAAGGTTTGTTAAATTTAATTTGTACTACTATATACTCTATAGCATCTCATGTCATTTTAACATAGCAGTATGAATATGTGAAACACTGATTACAGAGCCGAGGGATGTGCATATTTCATAGATTTTCTCTTTTTGCCACTAAAATGGTTGTATAGATAGATGTGACCAAAATGAATCGATAATAGTATTCCCTCACTGTGAAATATCTGACTTTAACTATTACGGTCAAATTTTAAGATCTTGTAAAGTTTTAATGTGCCATAAGTCAAATGACTAAAAATATATATTTTGTATTGTTTCCTGTATATCAAATCAGAAGTAATTAAAACATCTCACTTGGATGTAGACAGCTGTATCTGATCTCATTCTGCTATCATTCAGTGTGTGTTTTTGATGTCTGGTTATGTCACATTTATTTTACATGTATTCTTGGGGTTTGAAGCCACATGAATAAACTGTCTCTACACTAGTGCTGTCAAACGATTAATCGCATCCAAAATAAAAGTTTTTGTTTGCATAATATATGTGTGTGTGTACTGTGTATATTTATTATGTATATATAAATACACGCATACAGAATATATCTTGAAAATATTTACATGTATATACATTTATATTCTTATATTTTATATAAATATATTTAATATATAAACAACATTTTTCTTAAATATATACATGCATGTGTTTGTATTTATATATACATAATAAATATACACAGTACACACACACATATATTATGCAAACAAAAACTTTTATTTTGGATGCGATTAATCACGATTAATCGTTTGACAGCACTACTCTACACTGAAGTGTTTCTGATTATTTTATGACCCTGAAAGAAAATACATTTGATATTGCCAGAAGATCTAAATATGAAAGCCATTATTGTCCCTGCTAAAAAGCTTGGATAAGAAGCTCAATAAATCAATTGGCCTCACCAAAACATTAATCGTTCAGAAATCTAAATATATTTTTGGCAGAACATTAAACATTATCTGTGACATCTGTGATTTAACTTGAGTAACTCAAAACACCTCCTGTTTTCAAGTCAAGTCGTGACTGGTGGATGGTCCTTACACAATTTATGACTATAAGCATATCCAAAAATGTCCAAATATAAACCACAGGAACTAAATAGTGTTTTGCACGCTGTGCATCATTTGACCTGTGTTTTAATCACACAGTAGGCTGCTCTCAGGGCATTTTGGGTCCACATCCCCCCAGTAAGGCAGAATGAAAGGCAAATTAGTCACTCGCCTCTCAAGAAGTGTCCATAAATGCTCTGCCACAAACTGATTGCCTTTATCAGAGAGATGAAGTCCGTCCGAAAGATACACTGAGAAATCCTGAGGGGAAAAACTATTTGTTTGTATTCTAGTTCTGATTTGTATACGCTAATTCACTATATTTATGGGTTTGCCAGCATGCGTGTTACCTGTCCGTCTTTTTGCATGAGCGTCCAGAGATCCAGAACATCCACACCAGACTGTCCAGCAGCCTGAACACAGGCCTGCGCATACTGACCAGCCACAGAGTTCAGCCGATTCAAAGCTGAACCTGATAAAAAAAAAAGAGCATTTAAACACACCGAAAACCATATTCATTATGTGTGTGTGTGAGAGGGATAGAGAGACTGAGGCTATCATTTTAACTAAATACTTAAGTTCTGCTAGCTCCACACACTATATACTGCCAAGTCATTCTTAAAAATAGTATGTGAAACCGCATGCAATATGCAGCAATACATGTTTCATATAGTTTGCCACACTGCTGTCACATGACACGGTCAAGTTGCACGCTTAATGAAGTGATCTGGTTATAATTTGCAAGTCAATTTTAATCCAAGATTTGAGAAAAATGTATTAACAGCAGATGTTGTTTATAAAGAATTGTTTTATATAGTATATTTTTCCATTCCTTTAAAAGATTTGTTGTTTATGGTGTAACTAATGTTTGTTAATGTTTAGTTTTATTTACTGGTATTTTACATAATTTCTTAATGTAATAATTCAAATGTGTCTTACACAACAATGCAACTTATCTGTGTATTTGTGTGTTCTCTCTCTTGCTCTCTCTCTCAACAATGAAGTTCCAATGAAACTGCAGTACTTTATCCCTCAATGCAAGGCTGTCAAATGAAGAATCCAGCATGATTACCATCTTTGATCTATTTGTTCAGACTGTTCAACATAAAATTCTAAATAAACTTCATTATTTTAATTAAATTAAAGTAATGAGGTCATATGATGTCAGTATAGAATACTACCGTATACACCATTGCATACTATTTCACATACTATTTTCTAACACTACGCTGTGCAGCATGCAGTACACTAGTATTGAACACAGCCTAAATTCAGGAGAGGAGGTACCTGTCACCTTTTAGCAAGCACTCTTTCTCCCAGGCGGCTTCTTGAAGTGGTGGTGGTGTGATGAAGATGATCTTGTCATTGGACACTCCTATAGACAGCAGATATTTGACAATATCTTTTAAATTGTCCGTGAACTCCTGGAGAGGCACGTGCTGCGCGGGGTTCTTGTCTGGAAAGAAACGTTAGTAAGTGTCTCATAGATAGGCTAGTATCGCTGCCGCTGATGTTTAGATCTTGAAATGACACGTGAAATGTTCTTACCTTCCAATGCACAGTCATTGGCGCCGAAGAATACGGTCACAGCCGCAATAGGAGCATCAGAAATGGGCACGATGCGAGGAAGCACAATCTTAGCCCACCTTGTGTTGTAACCCGACAGGCCTCTGTTTACCACGTCGCATTTTCTAATAAATGAAAGGAATGATCAAATCATCCGCCACAGCGGTATGAATGCAATAATACATCCGTGCTGTCATAAAATCGGTACCTGGCGAGTTTATGAGAGATTTCGGATCCCCATCCGTTCGCTTGAAACGCAAACTGAAACAAAAACACGGCATGTCAGAGTAAAGAACAAAACCCAAAGTGTCCTGTGTCCCCAAATTGTTACCTGTGTTATTGAGTCGCCGAAGAGAATGATTTGGGGCCATATAACTTTCTTTAGTGTCGACATAGTAACAGCAACACCTGACGACTTCAAGTCTGTACTAGGAAGCAGCAATGTGGTGCTTCGTTTCAAAACGATTCAGAGTTTGAATCTTTGAATCGTTCACTTCTACGCACTGAACGCTTTCCTGTCTTCAAAGACTACAGCGCGCGCCGATAGCTGGCTTGAGAACACGCCCATTTACTATTAATTAAATACATAAACCGTATAGAGAGAGTGCTTATAGCTAACTAAGGTGTCATTCCATCTATTGTAAACATAACCACTTACTAATTATTAAATAAATAAACCGTGTATAGTTTACTAAGGTGTCATTCCGTCTATTCTAAAAATAACCATTTACTATTTAATAAATAAATAAATAAACTGTTATTCAGTCAATTCTAAACATGGCAATTTACTATTATAAATAAACAAATAATTGGTTATTAACTAAGGGGCCGGGGGCCATAGGGGACCTCAGCAAACCTCCAATGACTTACAGTGAATAAAAGAAGACAAAACAAGCATTTAAAGGATGCCAAAAACGATTTAAAATCAACATATTTCTTATTTTACCCCTCAAAAAGTCTTGGAAAAACCTGGATATAAAAGGAAGCCTAATTTTAAAACTCTGATTTCTAGACCTGGAAATGTAATGTAAATTAATAAAATCTTATAATAATAATATCATGAATATACATGTTTCAAGTTATGCCAATGGCAATAACAAATAAATGTAAGCTGCATACACACAATTTTAGTTATTTATTAAATTGCAAGAGGATCTGTTTAGAATGGACTCCATTCTAAGCAACTTGATATTTAATAAATGAGTAAATAAATAAATAAATACATATAGGCTAGATTATGTAGAGTTTACAGTTAGTAAGCTAATATCAGTTCTAAACATATCCACGTCTGCTATTTTAAAATATTAGGTCATGTACTATGCAGTATTTAGTAGTAGGCTAGTAGTAAATTCAAGTTGTTAATCCAACGTAAACACAGCCATTTACGATCGTGCGTCCCCTTTAAGAAGTGCTGGGTGGAGCCGTACAGGAAGTGAAGTGTCAACTCAAGTCTCTACAAAACAGAGAGAGCCGCCGACCGCTGCTTTGATGAACCTACCTATTAATAATCATTACAGCCGTACACTGCTGCATAGTGAGCTCAAAATAGAGGTATGCCCAGTGTGCTTGTTTTCCAAGTTCAAATTCTCCATATTTAATTGTAGAGATGCCAATAAACGACCAAATAAGAGCCCTTTGCGCTCGCATTAGTCAAGTTGGACGTGGGGTGCTGCTGAGTGTTTGTCCCATAGACTGGGTTTGTCCTAGCAACGGGTTTCCGTTACTTTCCGCGGGGTTTTATTAACAATGGGCTCGCGGTGAGCTCGCGCCTAGAAGAAGTCATAAAGCGATTCTTCGAAAGTTACTCAAAGTTTGGCACCATTGTTTTATGGGGCGTGGGCTCGTGGAGTGCCCTGAACCCCAGAACACGTCCGTGCTGTTTCTCATACTCTAAAAGGCAGGGGTTTTCTTAACGTAATATGTTTATTATATCTGAAGAAATACTACATAAGGAACCTTGTTAGTTGTGCATTACGCTGAGACAGCTCTCAGTTTTCACTCATGGGCACATAGTTTTTTGGTTAATAGTTAGTGTTGTTTACACATTTTTTAACTGTTAAGAATTTAAAAAAGTGATTTAATGAATGATGTGATGTATTACGATATGATTTTATAATTAAGGAATAATAGTAATTTTAGCCAGAAAATATAGTATATAATACTATATATAAATAAATTATATAATTGTAAATTAATTTGCTTTTATTATGTTTGTAGAATATTTAATTCTGATTCCTATGGAAGCGGTTTCTATCACGGGTTGAAATAAATAAATAAGGTAAAAAAAAAAAAAAAAGGTCAGAATTGTGAGATATTTATTCAAACTTGCATTTCTGGGGCGGAAAAGTTTTCTGATTTTCTGAAGTTTTTTGAGGAATTCTGATTCCTCAAAAATCAGGATTCAGACGATTGATTCAGAGTTTACGTTACATCTCTTAATTCTGTGTTTATATCTTGAAATTTTGACCTTTTTTTCTTAGAATTCTGTGTTGACATAAATAAAAAAATAAAATAAAAAAAAACAAAAAAGATAATTGTAACTTTTGTCTCGCAATTCATACTTTTCTTCATTGAATTGCGATTTTATATTTTGCAATTCTGAGTTTATACTGTATCTCGCAATTCAGATTTTATAGCTCACAATTCAGACTGTTTTTTCAAAATTGCAAGAAAAAAAGAAAGAATTGTGAGATATAAAATCAGAATTGCAAAAATAAACGTCAGAATTGTGAGATACAGTTACCTTTTTTGGAATTTTCTTTTTATTTATTTCTTTTTTTTTTATGGAATCAATCTTCCATAGGTTCCTAGTATCAAATAATGAGAATTATTTCCTGAGAATTATTTTTTGAGTTCAAGGCCTGG